ATTTCTCCTCATGCACGCTCTTTTTAAAAGTTGCTGTTTGAATCGCTCATACAACCTTACTTTGCAAAAGAAGATCTGCTATTTTTCCACTATGTCTCACCACCGGTAAGTGAAAATGGGGACGAGCGCTTAGGACGGCCTTACGTAAACATATCACCACAATAATTGACGATTAGGAGGACAACTTATTTAGATGATCCCCCTGGAAAAAGAACATCCTCCAATATACCTTTAACTAGCACCAAAATGCAATTTACAAAAAAATGTTTTGCTTTGTTCTGTAGGATACCTGTGCAAATTATTGTGAATAGCTTAACACAGAACAGAGCAACACCTTCTTTGCTTAATTTAAACCTGTCAAACCATTTCTGTTTACTCCTTTCAAGAAGAAAGGTTTTTCATGATGTACCGGTACGAAAAACCTGCACAGCAGGAAGCACAATCACTCCTTAATGCTCGCTAGTTAAGCCAGACAAAGCCAATAAGCTTATTTTATTAGCTGATAACCTCAATTAGAAGGACCTTTACACTTATCTAATAAAAGACAAGTCAGATACTTTTAGAATTTTAATTACTCTTTGGTAATGTATTTATTAGAGATGTACCAGTCTATGATTTTGAGGCCATTTGAGTCTTTTTGGATCAATTCAAATTGTAACTGTCTTAAAGATTCGTTTTTTTTGTGTAAACTGAGGAATTCTGGTTACTGTTCAGTTGTTATAACGTATTTCTAGAACTACTCATTAGCCCTGACTATAAGAATTGGCTTTGATTTACTTTGAGAGCAAAAGCTGAAAAATCTTGATTTCTTTCTTACTAATTAAATATCATAAAACTTAAACACTACAGTAAAAGCCTCTGTAAACTGAATGTTTGCTGAAACAGTTTGGAGTTTAGTTGGAACCAGATAAAGCTCAGGGACATATTCTTTGATGATTTAATAGGGAAATCTTTTAATCCCTTTAATCTCCTTTTTATTTAAAACCTATGCTTTTTTAAATACAAAGCCACATTTTGTTCTTTTGGTTTGAATATTTATTACGATTAAAGGTGCAGTAGGAGATCTTTTCTGATGCCTTTTTTACCATGTGGCTTAAAGATCTCCCCACAGCCACTTAGCAAGCAGTTAAATAGAAGGTCTGGAAGTAAAAGTAAAATAAATGGTCCCTGCTACACTGAAAAATCAATAAATATTCTCAACCAATCACAAAAGACGGCCATTCTACATGATTGGTTCCTGACACGTCAGTCAGGTCATCTGCTTGTCCCTTTCCCATGTGAGCGTACCAGGACACATGAACAAATCGACCCCCAATGCTTGTGCAAGCCGCCATGTAGCCACTGTTATGCTACGTTCACACCTAAAGCAGCAAGAACAGCAAATATTTGCTGTGATCAGTGGGAATAAAGTAGTTTTAATATGTTTTTAAGTGAGAAAGTCCACCTGAAAATGTAATCATTGCAGACAGTTCATCCAGATTATTATCCTGCCTTAAAATATTATTTCACTGTCGGAGCCACTGTCTCAGACCCCTGTACACCGGCGGTGCTCTGTCACTAGGAATCCCATTCAACAGCAGCCTATGGCCCGGTCACCTCCTCGCGATTTGCCACGGAGGCTTGAAGGCGTTTTTCGTGTATGTAATCCAAACTGCAGGCACTAGGATAATAAAACCGAACATGTTTTGCTGGCAGATTTCTGTATTTTAAATAAATTTAGGCCTTAATAAACTGTTTCAGAGGAGTGGTCATAGCGCTCTGCATGATCTGTGCTGCCTGTCTCCCTGCCAGCTCTGAGATCAGCGATGCGCTGCAGACAACATGCGCGTTCATGTGCTTTGAAGAAGTGGTTTCGAGGGGTGGTCTGAAGGTAGAGGCATGGTTGTGTATGGTCAAAAATATAGCTTGCTGGAACCATTTTTTCCAAAATCTCCTACAGCACCTTTAACTGCTTGTATTAAGAAAAGTTTCCAAAGCTGAGTTAAGGTATGTTACAGCCCTATAAAGAAAATTTAAAAGCTTAAATCGACATAAACTGGTCTGTTCTTTAAGATAAGATGCAAGTTGTATTAGTTTGCTATGAAGATGTAACCCTAATTCTCATAAAGTACATTTTATTCAACATTATTGGAACGCAAAATGACAAAAGTTAATTTTTGGAAACTTTTGAACCCACCCACAAAGTTAAGTATTTAGTAGTTGGGTAGTTTTAAAAGAAATAGGAGATGTATTTACTTTGTTACAGTAATTAAACAATTTTTTTGAGGATCTTTACTGACATTTTTTTTTAAACATACATAAAAGTGTAATTTTACTTATTTAATTGAAAATGTGAGACGTTGTTGCTCACTTTTGGATTGGAGTTTATCGTGAAAGGTTTTGCTTTGTGGAATCGGACTGTGAGCAATAGAAGAACTGTGCTATTTTTGTCCTGGTCCACGCTCTGTACCGGTCGGGGTTTTTAGCATGCCTCTTTAAAAGCAGAAATGTTAATTTATTTTATTTATCTAGAGAAATCAAAAACTGTCTTGCCCATTCTATTTGTGCATTAACAGCGAACGCAAACCGGGAGGAGGTGGGCAGCTGTCCCTTACCTCTAGAACTAATGAACCACAGCGGGAGATCAGAGAAGCCAAACAGGCAGAGAAGGTGGAGATTAGCTGGTGTCCATGCTGGAGCTAAGGGAGAACAACTAACTGTCCCTTAGGTGGCTTTCTTTTTTTTTTCTTCAATATTTATTTCTATCTTCCATTTTGACTAACACAAGGTTGTCTCTGCTGGGCTCGTTAACCATAGGTCTCAGCCTCATCTCGTACCTGATTGGTTTTCGCAATGCAAATGTAAACAAAATTTCATACTTTTCAACTCCTGTGAATTTTTCTTTTTGCGTAATTTGCAGAAGCGTTGCCGCTCTTGCCCTGCTGAATTCACCAAAAACAATTCATTCTCCTCTCTAGAATAGCAACGTTCAACTCGCTCTACTTCGCAGATCTCCAGAGCCGCTCTCTACATTTGGCATATTATGAAAATCGTTCACTCCAGCCGCATAATTTGCATTCAGTCTGAACGCACCTTAACAGTCACTGCTCTCAAATGCAGTTTCTTGTTGACCTCAGTCCTTATATTGAAAATAAACCAGCCAACACTAGGAAAGCTAAAAGAAAGCTTTGTCAATGCTTTTCAATTATCTTCTTGTTATACAGCTCTTAAGATCATCTAACACAGCTGGCAAATCAAAGGGAAATACAAAATAAACCAGCCAGGCTTGTCTCCATATAGGGTTGTCCGGAAACACATTGTTAATAGCAAATAGAGTTGTTTCAATTTGTAGGACATTAGGAGAAAGTGATAAATGCAGCACAGTCCCGCACAAATGAAGGACAAGTGGTCTTCCTAAGTGTAGTGGAGGCCTCTATGCAGCCAGTGTTACAAAAAAAATTCACATCTGAGCTTGTAGAGTTGGACTAAAATGGTGTGTACCAGCTTTTATAAATGGACTCAGGTATAAAAAAAGTGAGAGCATCCAAGGTTACATTAATACTCCTCTTACTCTGTAATCCGATTTTTTTTATTCCTCAGAAAAATATAATGTAATCAATCACAGGAATCTTTTTCTACACAAAAAACAGCAAATATCTAATCCAAGGTTCATGTATCCCAGCATCTATCTTCATAAAGCGAGATCTTATTTCATATCAGATATCTCAGAGCAATCACAACACTTCACAGCTGACAAACGACCCGAGTACATAACTTCTGCTGATTTTCCGAGGCAAGCTTTCTCACTAAGATTCCCTGAAGATTTCTTTTCAACCAGTTGAATTTTTCACATGTGATCACATTTGAGTTGAGGTTATAAACCATCTCCTAAAACAGGTTAAGGAGCAAATGAATGGGTCACTTTTTAATGACTTCCTTAAGGAGAAATGAACCACTATGCCTACAATTCCACAGACTATATATTATTCATACATTTTTAATAACTCATTTAAATCTGAAATATGTGCAGCAGAAAGGCAACTTTAATCAAAAATAGAAAGTCCAGTTCAGATACCAAAAAGTGAAATACCATTAAAAAAAATAAATTGGGGGCTGCTAAAGTGGTCCAGCATCTCTAACTCCAGGGAAAATAACTAGAGCTATTTGAGCTATTGAAATTATTAAGGAAAGCTAAGTATATATTAACACCTAATCTGTGAAATAAGTAAATGACAAACAACTAAAAAAAAAAACATAGCAATCAGCACTAATAAAAAGGGAGTTTTGTAAGAGTAACTTTTCATGGTCACAACAGAATGGAAAACACTTAAATTAGAATGATCTTGAAAAGCAAATTGGTTAGAGAAAAAAGGATGTGAAATCACTTACAATCATTTTACTACCAAGGTGACTGCTCAGGAATTTCCACGAAGGTCTGAGAAACAGCTGCTTCATCTGTTACTGCCATCAGCTACTTCACATAAAGGTACCATTACTGAAATAATAATCTAGCCTATAAGAATATCCATAGTTTCACAAAAGAAAAACATGTAGGAGCGAACCATAAAAACTTCTTCATTCTCCATGAGAATGAAGGGTATATTTTTCTAATGGGCTCTAAATATAATTATGTGAAATACAGAAAAATCTGTTTGTTTTTAGTCCATTTATGAAACTCAACAAAACCAAAAGTAGCTCCTCCTTAGAAGCACCAACCAACACCAAACAACTTGATACCCTTCTTTGTACATAAGTTAAAGTCAAATACCAGGCAGCATAAATGGAATAGTTAGTTATGGAGGACACCTTAACATTATTGTGTCATTTTTTTCCCCTTGTGCTGAGGTTAAAAACACACACAAATAAACAGATATCCCAGTTCCAATCAGAAGTGTCAGGTCCAACCTCAAAGAAAGAGGTTGTACCTGAAACTTATATAAGCTAGTAAAAAATCTTAGAAATTGCATCCTATTTAAAGCTAATATAAGCAATTTATATATTTATATAATGCAGAAACTCACCTGTTTCTTCATCAATGGAGAAGATTCCTAAGCCTGAACCATCCCTTATGGAGTACCGAATCTCTCCATCTTGTCCCAAGTCCTCATCTTCGGCTGAAACTGTCATCACAGAAGTCCCAATAAGGGCGTCCTCTTTTATAAATCCTTTTTCCACAAATGACCGAAAGAAAGGCCTGTAGAGGTTCTCATTCACATCCACCACCTCTACCTCAATGAAGCAGCTTGAAGACAAGGATATCGGCTTCCCTTTGTCTTTAGCCTTGGCTGTCAGATTAAACACCTGTTTGGTCTCATAGTCCAAATTCTGAACAATCCGAAGAGCTCCACTGAGTTTGTCAACTTCAAAATGTCCATCTCCATCATCAGTAAGGCTGTAACGTACTTGACTGGAAGGGCCAATGTCGGGGTCATGAGCTTCCAGCCACATGATGACAGTACCAATAGGAAGGTCCTCCCTCACTTTCACACGGTAGTTAGGGGGAACAAACTTAGGGGGATTATCATTCACATCTTCCAGGGTGATTTTTAGAGGTACTGTTGACACTAACTGAGGTTCGCTCACTGCCTGATCTTGTGCTGCAATTTTCAAAACATAGAACGGATAGCGCTCCCGATCCAACGGCTTTGTCACAGTAACTACTCCGGTTAGTTCATTAATAGCAAAATGATCGGTGCCTGCTAAAATGGAGTACTTGACCATTCCATTATCCCCGTGATCCTTGTCTGTTGAGTCTACCTGGATAATTTCTGTCCCAACCAATGTACTCTCGCTTATTTCAACTGAGTAGGAATCCTGCAAAAACTGAGGGCTGTTATCATTGGCGTCCAGGATTTTCACATCCAACAAGCGTGAAGAGGATTTCTGTGGGATCCCGAGATCGTAAACCGTAATGTTAAGTGTGTAATGGTCTGTTGTTTCACGGTCAAGCGGAGAGTAAACCAGAAGCCAACCTGTTTCCATGTCAATAATAAAGCGGCTTTCTGTGTCTCCTCCTGAAATGACGTACACTAATTTCCCATTAAAGCCACTGTCTGGATCTGCAGCAGCTAAATGAACAATCCGAGCCCCAACAGGGAGGTCCTCTTTTACTTCAACAACACTTGGGAAAGAGTCATCAAACAGAGGGGAATACCGATTGATGGAGTAAATGTCCACAAAGTTATCTTCTGGCTCAGTTTGGCTGTGGATTTTGCTTCCTTTAAGCAGTTTCTCAGCTAGCATGGTGGCGACACCCGTTTCCACACATTTCACCTGGACAGGCTTACGTGCTGTAATGACAGTAATGTTCATGCTCATTGGCTGAGTCTCATGTTCACCATCTGTTGCTACAACCTGTAAACTATGAAATGACACTTTAGCTGCCTCCCCCTCAGTCAGCGTCTGTTTCAGCGACAGAAGGCCTGAGTTTGGATTCATTTCGAACAGATCAAGATCATTCCCAGATTTAATGTAGTACTGTACGAGTTGCAGTTCATCAGCATCTATGGCAGAAGCTGTTGTAATCTGCTCTCCCACCCCATGATCTCTTGGCACGGTGATCTCACAGTCTATGTTTTCAAACAAAGGCTTATTGTCGTTCAGGTTATTTAAAGTTAAAGTAACTGATGCCTCCACCTCTCTACGGAAAGGGGATCCCCAGTCAGATGCCCTGACTTTCAGATTGTAAATCCTTGGCATGAGCTCATAATCTAGAACCTCTGAAGTGCTGATGACACCAGAAAAGTAGTCGATGACAAACGGCTGGGGACTCAGGTTGGTAATGCTGTAAGTCACATAGCCATTCTCCCCTTTGTCCAGATCAATGGCTCTCACTGTTAACACACTGGTCCCAGTAGGTACATTCTCATCAACACTGGCCTTGTAGGACGTCTGCTGGAACTCGGGTGCATTGTTATTCACATCAATTACATCAACAATCACTTTTGTGGCTGCTTTTTTGTCAGTTGTGACCACCTCAAGCTCATATCGGGAGGAAATATCAGCATTGATTGGTCCAGCGGTGCTTATTAAGCCAGTATCTGCATTGATGCTGAATCTATTCTTGTCGGAACTGTGTTTAAAGGCATACTTCTGATGGGGATACCTCGGCACAGCCGTCACCATAGTCACAGGTGTGTGGAGAGGGGCAAATTCACTGAGATTGACTTTGTAGATAGCCTTTTCAAATACCGGAGGGCCCTTTCGGAACTCCGCAGAGGTGACATGTACAATTTTAGCAGATGAAAATTGAGGTGGGGTGCCTTTGTCCTTTGCCTGTAAGGTGAGGTTGTATCCGAACGGCTGGCTGTCCCAGTCCACATCCTTCACAGCTTTTATTTTATACTCTTTGCTCCCAGGGCTGCTTCTCACAGCTTTAAACTGCTGCAGCGGGTCACCAGCAACGACGCTAAGTGACGAGATCTCTCCATTTGGTCCCTGGTCTTTGTCCTCCACTGTCACAATGGCATATGTGGGGTCCTTATCTGTATCTGAGGGGGACAAGGTCACTGCAGTGATTACAGGTGCATGCTCATTGGCCTGTTCCACGTGCACAGTCAGTTTGGCCATGCTGCTGAAGCCACTACTGCCATACAGCTTCATGCCCCTGTCTACAGCCAGAATCTCCAGCTCGTACAGCTTTGTCTCTGAGTAGTCCAGTTTGCCAGTTAGTATCACCACCCCGCTCGTTGGATGAACAGCAAACATGTCTGTCCATTCTCTGAAGCTGTAGTAGTATTCTCCATTGGTACCGATATCTGCATCAGTTGCTGTGACCTTCACCACGCTTGTGCGGATGGCTGTGTTCTCTAGAAGGGAGATGCTGTAGGAGGTTGGTGAGAAGAGCGGCCTTAGATCATTGGTGTCTAGTACCTGAACCCTAACTCTCGTACGACACTCCAAATTTGTGCTCCGCTCCGTAGCTTTGACAGTAAGTATATAGTGATCTTTAACCTCCCGGTTGAGAATGGCAGTGCTGCCTCCTTTGGTCCTTATTCGTAAAAAACTGAAATCTCCCAACAAGTAATCCTCAGCTTTGAACAAGTTCTCATTATCCCCAGAGATGATTTTGTACCGAATCTCCCAATTTGGCTCTGCAACGTAGACCCCCATCTTGGTGTGACTTTCCAAGTAGGTCTTAGCAGCAGAGTTCTCATATATTGTGGCATTGTAGACAGAGTGGGTGAACTGGATAGAGGCAGCCCTTGCAAACCTTTGACTTCCTGTACAGCCGGAGAAGAGCTGCATGAGCAGTACAAGCAGTGTCACTGAGGGCTTTCCCATTATGGTACAGTGATCTTCACAGAGCCACCTGGAACAGAACAAGGACAGAAGAAAATGTGTAAACATTAACTGACAGAAGACATCAGCTGGGGTTACAATGAAAGAAAACAATTGCCAGGAACCACACTGCCTTAAATGACTTAACAAATGTGGGCCAGGCTGGTTAGTGGCTTGATGGGTTCCATGTGGAAATAGGATGAAGCAGAGCAGCCAATGGGTTGACAGATCTGAGCTGGCAGCATGCCTGTTATGAGCCCATTGCCAAGACAGCAACCATGCACACTTCTGAATGGCTGAATTTAACTCCAGCATGTATAGGTCCTTACCAATAGAAAACTAAATTTGGTCAAATGTTTTAATTCAACTGCTTTTTAAATCTTTAATTTAAACACATCACACAAAAATCAAGAGACCTATAATCATTATTGACTTTTAAAGATACAGATGAATAGTCTATGTTTTTGCATTGATAAGATTTAAACTGACTGTGAAAAGGGGTTAGACAGGGAGGAACGGATTTCCGCAGCAGGATTTTGCAAAGCACTTTTTTTAAAAACAAAACAATGGAGAAAAAAAATGCTCTGCTCCGCTAATATAAGGGTTCATAATATCATAAGAGGTATAATATTCAGATTTGATTAGCTGGCATTCACATACATTAGGGGGGTGAGCTGTTTTTGTAAAGGTTTCGGTTTGATGGATGTTATGGTGAAAGGCAAAGCCTCAACTAACCATAACAAGGGAAATATGATGGGATCAAATGTGTTAACATTCCTTTCTGAAGCATTATTTTTATTAAATGCAATCTAAATTCTTATAATGCACAAAAATGCATTGAAATAATGACATTTATTTTTAAAAATATATTAATTTCAAGGTGCATAACCAGAATCACGTGTGCATAATTTCTTATTTTATTTTTGAAAGTATTTTTTTTTTTTATCATTTATGACACCACAACAAAAAAACAGAGCAAACTGCAATGTTCTGAAAATCAGTAGCTCTACAAAAGTGACTGACTGATTTAACAAAACAACAACCAAAAAAAATCAGTGTAGCTTTAAAACTAAATAATAAATGTAGAGGAGGAAACTGATAAAGAAAACAAACACAGATGTGCCCTTTCCAGACTGAATGGGTTAAAAAGCAGCGCCGATGTGGCTGGGAAACTGTTCCTGCTGCTTCCCTCTTGGTTCTCAGGAGTCCATACAAAGACAAATAAAAGCGCTATATCTGCGCTGGGGTGCTTCCCATAAAAAATACATTATATGGATTTTTGGCGAGTCACAAGTGACCCTCATATAGTTTAGTTATTCAGGCTTTATGCAGGGTTAATTAGTGACGAGGTACGGACGCAATTCCACCTTAAATCTGGAACTATTGCCTGCAGGTATGAAAAGAACCATCTTAAGGGAGCGCATTGAATTCAAATTAAACTTTCTATTACTTCTTTACATATATTGTATACAATATGAAATATTTGCTAAATGCGCTTCTGCACAAACTCTATCTGTCCTTTTTTTTTTTTTACATATATATTAATAAAAGTCAACAGTTTAAGATAAGTTAGGTGCGTGGAAAGTCTTTCATTTCAAACCCCATCCCCCAACTCCAACATTCACTCCTTCAAGCGATGGCAGCCAGCGCTGGACACAGATTTGCTTCTTTTTAAAAAGCCACAGCGTAAAACAAAACAGAGTAAACATCCATCTAAGTGACCTGTGTGTGTTTGTAATGTAGAAGGCAAAAATGAAGTAGTTGGTTTTGTTCTGTTCAAACTTCTGTAAAGCCCAGCAGCGGTTGGTTTCTTTTGCAGCGCATAGCGCACAATAGCGTCAACTTTTCCCACCTTAAAAAGATGCGAAAGCGGCTCGATAATAAAAACCGGTAGGAATGAAGAAAAACGTACCTCTCTTATTATTAATAATTTCGAAGATTTGGAGGTTTGGCAAGAAGTTTGTGTAGTCCAATTCTCCGCATGTTAATACGTGGACTTCTCCCCTCTCCGTTACTCTGTCTGCCACCAGTGGGCAGGCTCTGTTTTTCCACGCTGCGCTGCGCTCCTTTCTCTCCTCCACTCTGGATCCAGCCAACAGATATCTCTCCGCGTTGCGCACGTCCGGATCTACTTACTGGGCTGGCAGCAGTAAAAGAAAATCGCTCCACTGGACCATGTGCGCCCGGCTGTAGCTGCTCGATCTTACTATCATTGATTCATATTCTAAACCTATCTTATTAGATTGTCTTGCTCTTATTAAAAAAAATGCACAATATATTAACAGCAGCCTATATGCATTGACTAATAAATGTCTAGTGGATTTCAGGAGGTTGCATTTATATATATATCGCACTTAAATACTTTAAAAAGATACAATATTGCAATAGTCTGAGACTGGACAAAAAAAACAAACCCCACTGATTTCATATTACTTCCAGCCAGGGGCGGAGATAGATGGGGGGCCAGGGGTGGCCATGGACACCCTTAGCCAATCATTGGCCACCCCTACCATTTATTTCTCTCTGATACAGACGGTTGCAGCAGAAGTACTCTCAAGTGGAATATTCAAGGCATTTTAATTTTTCATATATCAACAATTACCTGACAACAAAAACACGGTGGTTAATTATGCACATAAATATACTAACATTAAAGATGATAAATACAGAGTTCAAGCAGGAAAATATTTTGTGTTTTATGGGATAAAGAGAAAGGTCATCTAGGAGTCTTCAGAGCAATCTTAGATAAATAACTATTTCAATAAAAAACTTATTAAATAATCAATTTATGTAGATATTTGTATTTTAAATATCAACTTTATGTAGAATGATTATTGATAAAAGTAGGTAATGACAATAGAGCAGATCTTCACCCCAAAATTCAAACCTTAAACAATTTTATCCACTATACCACGGATTTTTGAATATATTTGTCTATTTGTTAGCAAAGGCTGTGGGAAAATATAGTGTGTCTTTATTTAGAAAATAAGGATGTTTTGCTTGTTAATTTTCCTGTTGGAACAGACTGACCGTGAGGTTCTAGTGCCTGTCTAATTTGGCCAGCCCTCAGTGAACATTAGTTATTGCCTGGCCACCCTTATAAACATTTTCTGCCTACGCCTATGTTTATACTTGTCAGATTCTTAGACTAATCGCTCAAAAAAATTTATTTTTATAAAAGGCCAAAATCATGCAGTCACCTCCAGACATCTATCATCACACCGTGTAACTTGATGCTATTGGCTATAAAACCACATATTATGCCAAATGTAAAATACTTAAAAAAAAATTAATGTCTGAAATTTAGGAGCAGTTTCATGTTTTGCTTTTTATGTTTGTTTCTTCCTTTATGTCCACGGGTCAGGGTGAAAAGGATACATCTAATAATAGCTGCAGGGAGATGCACTAATTGGTGATCCCATCACACTCTTTTAATCACTGAGACTTTTTGCTCTGGATCTCCCTCTCTTGGATCCCCTTCCTCAGGCTGCTGTAGAACCGATGGCGCCGTTTCTTTGCTCTCATCCGGACTGCAGAGATCCACTTGGTGCGCTTTAACGCAGCCTTTCAACACCCGCTGATGAAGTCTATTAGCTACTCTATATGCGCGCTTGCATGTTTCTACAAGTGTGCATCATGTCGGTGTCTGTTTATATGGTGATTTTGGAAAAATGAATACATGCAATTTGAAAGACACCGCTGATGTCAAAGTTTAAAAAGTCTCTTACGAATAAATAATCGAGAAAATATTAGGACTACCCACCTCTGAAGTTTACAGATAGAATCCTATTGTTTCACATAACGGACTTTCCTCCTGCACGAAGCTCTACTCCTCCACAGTTCTGTAGTGTTCACATCCGATCTGCTCACCAGTATAGTGATTTGCAACATAAGCTGCGGCTCGCTCCGCGTTTCTGCTCCATAATGGCACAGGTAGGGTGGCATACTGCTGCTACCTTCAGGCGATACTGGGATTTGTAAAAGCGCTCAGATGCAAACAAGAATACTGAACATGTGGTGTAGATTTCCTTTCAGAATAAAGCAGCTGCCTGTGAGATAAGATCACCAGCATCAGCTGATGGTGGAAATGATATTTGGTTGGCTATTTTTGTTCTGGTTCTACTTATCTGATAATTTCATGCTGATAGATTCACGCCTAATAAATTCATAAAATGCATTTAATTTTCTGCTGTAGCCTGAACACGCCTTCAGCATCCTTTACTTACAGTTTCTTATAAAGAAAAAATGTTTATGGCCATTGATATATATATATATTTTTACATTTTGCCATATTAAAACCATACACATCATATGATAAGATCCTGAACTTACTTTTTAGTATGAGGCCTGTTACTAGGGTGATATAAAACATATATTGGTTCACTGTTTTAATTTTTAAAGATGGCTGTGGTATTTTCATATTAACAACCTGCAACCAGGCACCTGCATCCTTTTATTTTTTATTTTGTATTTAAAAGGTCAATGAAATGTTGTGTGTTGTCCCTGTTTGTAATAAAAACATACCATACCAAGATTTTATAAATACAAACCTGAAGATATAAAACAGTTACAATGATCTCACTTACAGAAAATAGGTTTGCACCAGTGTTTTTGTCCTGGATATCTTTGAAGCAGCAGTGTGTCTTACTTATAGACCTTATTTGGATGTTAAAATGTCTGTCTAATCCTATTACCGCACATAAGTTTTTTGTTTGCTCTACCATTTTAGATTAATTGAGCTTTGTAGACTGCTTATCTTCAACCCTGAATTCATCCAGCCAAAATAAAAATAAAAAACTCCACCTAAACAGTCTGTGATCATGGTGAAAAAAAACACCTCAATCTGCACTGTTAACTATAAATGTAACGTGAGCAGAATGTTTATCATGTTTATCTTATTTTTTTTTTTGTTTTGTTTTAACAGCACAAGTGGCTTGTTTTTCTGGCAGTATGCTGACAGGAAAGGGGGTATAGAGGGGGAGAGACATGCGGCAAAGGACCACAGGTCAGGTTCGAACCCGGATTTGACGCGTCGAGGACTCAAGCCTCCGTACATGGGTCGTGCGTGCTAACCACTGCCTCACCTGCATGCCCCCCACCTATTTTCATTGTTCATGTGGATACTTTTTGACCAATATGTAATGGTCTCATGTAGTATTGAATAGAATAGAGTGATAAAGTTTTCTCCTCAACAGACGAACGAAGGTATGCAAACTAAAATTAGCAATCTGAATGTATTTATCAAACCCCAAAACAATCAATCTGTTTATTTAGTCTAGATGTTGATATTTACCAAATTAATCAAAACTCTGAATAACAGTAATAAATAAAATGGATCGTTGTTTTATCACTGATGAATTCCTCTTTTAATAGAAGTCTGCTCGCAATCCTCATGAAAGTACCATCTACATGAAATAGCGATCTGTGAACAACTAACCTTCTTCAGACCGGTCGCAGAACATGTGGTCAACAGCTAAACTTGACACCATGCTGAGAAGTGGCTGCCAAAAAATGCCAGAGCACAGAGGGCAATTGGAGCCAGAGCTTGAGTGTGAGAATTCTAATGTCCATTCGACATTGGCTCATTAAAGTCACATATGCCCACAGGCTGAGTAAACGGAAGAGACCTATAGGCTTGCTAAGCAGATTTGTGTAACAGGGGAAGGAAAAAAAAGACAAGCCTTTTTTTGTGTGTCAGAAAGTAAGTGTGTAATAATTCAGCTGTCTTCTTTAAACGACTCTCTGCTTTTTCTTTATCTGAGTTTTGTTCTACACACTATCTGAAACTGAAATGTTCTTTCATAGCCTGCTCTCTGATCTGCCTTTAAAGCTTTAATTGAATTCAGGTCAGGTGATGCCCTGAGCGGGTTCCACTACTTTGATCTCAACAAAGTGTTTGCAGTTCTGGTTACCTTGGGTCAGGTCCTTCTGCCTTTTGCACCCTATAGAGGTATAATTAGGAACTTCTCTAGGCCCTGAAAATGGATATAATCCAGTTCTAGATGATCTGCAATCACAAGCTCAAGAGAGGGAATTATAATGAATATTTCCAAGAATGTATTCTAGCACGTTTACAAACCTATGCAGTCAGGGTGTTAAAGGTAAACGACTGCAGATGAATTGTAGCAGGGAGAACACAAATAGATCCCTTATTTAGCTCAAGAAATGTGTTCACATGACTTACGTTTACAATTCAGGCAAAAATAAATGCAGTATGTTTTAATCTAATCAAAGAAGCAAAGAGTAACATTTACTTTATCATTTCATATATATATCTCATAAGTACTCTTGTATGAGGTACATTAATAGGGCATCTTCCTTCAGATGTTAGGAGATCAAACAGGAAAGTAGAACATGTCACACTTTTTGATGCCCAAGCTGCCAGATGACAAGAAATGATTTCTAGTATCTAGTGGGACTTCTAGTTTAGTAATGCCTCTTACCCAATTCCAGAGTTTCTAATGTAACTAGATGTTTTTCTCCCTGATGTGGCATGGCAATCCTTACTGCAACACTGGTTTGGGTTTTTGCTCGAACAAATGCCACAGAATCAGAATATTGGTTTTGCAGGAGAGCCAGCACTTTTTCATCTTGACAGAAATAGCTTCCAGCAACACAAGCAGAGATCTTGCTGAACAGCTGTTAAAAAAAGAAATAGAAGAAGAAAAAAACTCAAAGAAACAGAGGTAACTTGTGTGTTTTTCCTTGTGACTCCAAATAATTAGCTAAATAATCATAATGCTCCAGACTGTGTTTCCTGTGGCTCTATTACCCAGGTACCATTTTAAACACATCACATTCTAGGCAAGTTTACTATCAGATGGTGCCATCCCTGCATATTGTTTTCCATTAAAACGTTTCAAACATTATTAAAAACTATTGATTTCGCTATTGAAACAAGAAACACTACAAAGCCAAACATTAGCAACAACAACAGCGAAACAGGAAACCTCCATTCTTGAACTTTTTATTCAGAAGAAGTTTGAATATCAGGCAGATAATGTAGGTGAAAAAAAACACACACACAAAAAAACAAACATAAAAACAAAAGAACAGAG